AAGTCTTTGTAGATATAGATATAGACATATTTCCAAAGTCAGGCTGATGGGCTTCACATAGCAAGGAACATTCAAAGAATTTAACAGAGCAAAGTAAGAATTCAGTGTTTAAGTTCTAATAAAACTTGCTGTGGGGTGGTAAAAATGACCTCATGAGAGAGTAAGTGAGAAGGAACAGAAAAGTGAGGAAGAAAACAGGTCAAACTGAAAACATGGACAATGTGAAATCACAAGTTAATGTGCTGTAAACTCTCATGTTCAATTTTTCTAAGGAAAACTATTGCATAAGATATAAAATTTAACTTTAACCATATAATACAGAGATAAGGTGACAGATGAGAAAGGTTTGGAAATGTTCTTAGCAATACCTTAAGACTGGTATATAACTGTTTCCTAACCATTAAGCCCTCAGGATATTAACAGGTATATTATTTATTAACATTTTATAAAACACCTTTTAAGTTCAGAGGTACACGTGCGGGTTTGTTACATAGGGTTTGTTATACAGATTTTTAAATTTTATTTTAAAAAATGGGATACATGTGCAGAACGTGCATATTTGTAACGTAGGTATACGTGTGCCATGGTGGTTTGCTGCACCTACTGCACCCACCCTCTACGTTCCCTCCCCTCATCCCCCCACCCCCCAACAGGCTGTGGTGTATGTTGTTCCCTTCGCTGTATCCATGTGTTCTCAATGTTCAACTCCCACTTATGAGTGAGAACACGTGGTATTTGGTTTTCTGTTCCCGTGTTAGTTTGCTGAGGATGACGGCTTCCAGCTTCATCCATGCCCTGCAAAGGATATGACCTCATTCCTTTTAATGGCTGCATAGCATTCCATGGTATATATCTACCACATTTTCTTTTTTATTATTATACTTTAAGTTCTGGGGTACATGTGCAGGTCATGCAGCATTGTTACATAGGTATACACATCCCATGGTGGTTTTCTGCATCCATCCCCCCGTCACCTACGTTAGGTATTTCTCCTAATGTTATCCCTCACCAATCCCCCCACCCCCTGCCATCCCTCCCCTTGCCCCCGCAAAGCCCCCAACAGGCCCCAGTGTGTGATGTTCCCCTCCCTGTGTCCATGTGTTCTCATTGTTCAACACCCGCTTAATGAGTGAAAACATGCAGTGTTTGGTTTTCTGTTCTTGTGTCAGTACATTTTCTTTATCCAGTCTATCACTGACGGACATTTGGGTTCATTCCATATCTTTGCTATTGTAGACAGTGCTACAATAAGCATACATGTGCATGTGTCTTTACAGTAGGATGATTTATGTTCCTCTGGGTACATGCCTAGCAATGGGATTACTGGGTCAAATGGTATTTCTGGTTCTAGATCCTTGAGGAATTGCCATACTATATTCCACAATAGGTGAACTAATTTACATTCCCACCAACAGTGTAAAAGTGTTCCTGTTTCTCCACAGCCTCACCAACTTCTATTGTTTCCTGACTTTTTAATAATCGCCATTCTGACTGGCATGAGATTGTATCTCATTGTGGTTTTGATTTGCATTTCTCTGATGATCTGTGATGATGAGCTTTTTTACATATGTTTGTTGGCTGCATACATGTCTTCTTTTGAGAAGTATCTGTTTACATCCTTCGCCCACCTTTTCATGGGTTTTTTTCTTGTAAATATGTTTAAGATCCTTGTAAATTCAGAATATTAGACCTTTGTCAGATGGGTAGACTGCAAAAACTTTCTCCCATTCTGTAGGTTGCCTGTTCATTCTAATGATAGTTTCTTCTGCTGTGCAGAAGCTCTTTAGTTTAATTAGATACCATTTGTCAATTTTGGCTTTTGCTGCAATTGCTTTTGGGGTTTTTGTCATGAAGTCTTTGCCCATACCTACATCCTGAATGGTATTGCCTAGGTTTTCTTCTAGGGTTTTTATGGTTTTGGGGTTTTACCATTAAGTCTTTAATCCATCTTGAGTTAATTTTTGTATAAAATGTAAGAAAGGGGTCCAGTTTCAGCTTTCTGCATATGGCTAGCCAGTTTTCCCAGCACCATTTACTGAATAGGAGATCCTTTCCCCATTGCTTGTTTTTGTCAAGTTTGTCAAAGATCAGATGGTTGTAGATGTGTTGCATTGCCTCCGAGGCCTCTGTTCTGTTCCATTGGTCTATATCTCTATTTTGGTACCAGTACCATGCTGTTTTGATTACTGTAGCTTTGTAATATAGTTTGAAGTCAGGTAGCATGATGCCTCCAGCTTTGTTCTTCTTGCTTAGGATTGTCTTGGCTATACAAGGTCTTCTTTGATTCCACATAAAATTTAAAATAGTTTTTTCTAATTCTGTGAAGAATGTCAATGGTAGTTTAATGGGAATAGCATTGAATCTATAAATTACTTTGGGCAGTATGTCCATTTTCATGATATTGATTCTTCCTATACATGAGAATGGAATGTTTTTCCATTTGTTTGTGTCCTCTCTAATTTCCTTGAGCAGTGGTTTGTAGTTCTCCTTGAAGAGGTCCTTCATATCCCTTGTTAGCTGTATTCCTAGATTTTTTTTATTATCTTTGTAGTGATTGTGAATTAGAGTTCATTCATTATTTGGCTCTCTGCTTGTCTATTCTTGGTGTAAAGGAATGCTTGTGATTTTTGCACATTGATTTTGTATCCTAATATGTATTTTATAAATAAAGATATCAATGGTCATAAAAGCTAGGAAATTGCTGGCTTTAACAAAATTTACCAGCTTTCCTTACTGTAGGCCTTCAAAGCCTTTAGTGAGCTCACTTGCACAGTGACTCTCCCAAAGGGGGTAGAGGGGCAGCAGCCTGCAAATTTGTATCACAGAGTCCTATTAATACCTCCCAGAGACTGTTTTATCACAAGCAGTTTGGGAAAGACTAGAATATATACGTGTCCCATACAAGTGGTTAGTAAGATTCTCCTAGGGTCAATGTCAACTTGATATCACACAAAAACTAAATATAACCATGTGTGTATTGTCCAGGACTTCATATATTTGAATGTGTGTGTCCCACTTACAGTGGGAAAAAGGAGGGAATGGGGGAGATAAATGGAATGTGGATTTTCTGCCTCCGTTTCTTACACACTTGTTCTTAAAATCTGAAATCTCCATAGTTAGGCAGCTGAGCTGGAGGCTTGGGCTGAGAACTGGGCTCACTGTTTATACTGTGATGGGAAATCTGATAGACGAAGAAGCAGACTCATTCATCAACAGTAACTAGAGAATTCCCAGTCCCTTCGTCATATCTTTGGTGACTAAGCTCTAAAAGCAGGCAAGAGGCTCACCTCAAGCTGCTCAGGTAAGACTCCTGAGAGCAGCAGCATATTTTGGGACTTACTGGCATTTGTGTAGCAAGAGCAAGTTAGGAGTTTGGTTACAAAAGCCCTTTCAGACAGGTCTTCCATGCATTCGACCAGGTGACCCTCAAACCCCAGGCTTGAACTAGCAGCTAGCAAATGCCTCCTCGTTTAGTTGTGACCAAGTCCAGGTTTGCTGTTGGTGCAGAGCAGGAGCTTCATCTCATCAAGGTCCTCCTTAGGGGCCTGTGATGAAAGCCTCCATTGCAAGTGCAATGGATCTGCTGTCTGGCTGTATACATAGACACTTAGGCTTCAGTGATGAGGACAGGAGGGGCCTTTAGGAGACAGACTGCAATTTGGGATCTGGCTCTACTATTTACTAGCTATGCCACCTTGGGTAACTTGCTTAGCCCCTGTATACTTCAACTTCTTTATCTGTAAAAAAGGATAGTATTAGTACCTGTATCTACCTCAGAGGGGTTTTCTGAGGTTTAAATAATGCACTGAAAGCACTTAGCACAATGCCTGGTTTATTATAGATGCTCAATAAACATAGCTAATAATTTGAATGAGAAAATTACAGCCAAGGAAAGACTTAGGGGAAAACTAAGGTTTGGCATTAGATATACAGCAGGGACTCAATAAATACTCGTTGACAGTTCAACCAATATCTCTTAAGGCCAGTGTCAGATCCTGAAAAAGGAGATTTCACTGGTTTATATGCAGGTCAGGAAGAAACGGGCTTTTTATTACCTTTCACACTAAAGCAGAAAGCCAATACCTCATTGTATTTGCATCTCAAGGTTGAGTGGATGCTAAAAACCATTCCATTCTCTGAAAGGACAAGCATGTGTTAAAAGTAGTTTCATTGACTCATGAGTCCTGAGATGTCCCCATATGGAAGGATAGCTCTGAACCACCCAGAACAATGAAGTAGAACCAGGGACTATCTACAGAGAAATTTCTCAACATTTTCTGCCAAAAATCAGAAAAGGTCTTTAACGATAGAAAGTTTCTTCAGCAGCAATTAACAAAAGGAAAGATCTGTAGCACCATATATCATGCTCCATGGACTTGCTATTTGCTTCTCATTTTCAGCTCTGCAAAGTGTTGATGAATAAGGCCATAGTAGCACATGTAAATAAGGCAGAATTAATTTAGAGTTGAAACAGATCTTAGTGACATGATCTCCCACTCCTGCTATTTCAGCTTTTTGTTCCGAGGAAAAATAACATCCTAAAGAAAGCACCATAGGCCAAAATCATGGCACTAACCCCATGTTGATAACCATTTTTTTAAATTTATGTAGAATTAACACAGCTCCTAAAGTGCTGATGAAAATATAGGCACCTAGACTGTACATACTATACAGAAAAACCATGTCCCCACCTCCAATTAGAGAGAGACCCCTTCTTCTACTCTTCTCTCTGGATGAAAACAGATGCACCCCTGGACAGCCAAGAGTGAACTAGTATATGTGTGCTTGGTGGCTTATTGAGGAAACTTTCTCTCTTCCACATGAGGCTGGGGTGCTGGCTGGATGAGAAGGAATTAAACCACACTCTGCTCTCTTCATAGGGTATCAGCTTGGGAATCTCACGGACCAAATCTGTAGCAATCAACCCTTGCAAAGAAACACAGCAATAGGACAACTTCCCTACCACCAAACAATTTACAGAAATCAAATATGTCTCCTACCTGTGATGGACAAGGTCTCGGAGGGAGCGCAGGTGGTGGGGGTAACAATCCTGACTTAGTAGCTGAAAAGAAAAACACATACTGTTAAGGATCACCCCCAAAAATAAACAACAAAAAACTCAATACTTGTTAACTTGGAATGACAATGGCATTTGCATTTAACATCTTTAAGTTTTTTAAATCCTTCTGAAGGCTTAAGAAAAAAGAGTAAATGTTATTTTTAATCCCTTTTTCATTTTCATCCTAACCCAAACTAAAGTATTTAGGTAGGCTGTTATGATTAAGAAGACATCATACAACAGTATGGAGAAGACACCTGGAACGCAGCATGGGAAAGGTGTTCAATTCTTCATTATTCTAATGTTACTTAGTTTCAAACAATCTAGGACAAAAGTCAGAAAGAGTCATCTCTGATTTCTCTCATATTTCTCCCTAGCTCTCAGCCACTACACTGCTCATTAGCTCAGTGAGTACGCTACAGAAGCTCAGGAGCTAGAACCCAAATGAGGAAGCTTGGCTGCCCTGTAAATGCACCTGGGAATGGATCTGAAAGCAGTGGGGGAGGCCGACAGTGATGGACTGAAATGATATTTAGGGATTCTTCAAAGACCTCAATTTCTTTTTCTCTCCCTGATATTTATTATCAGGGATAACTAAAGCTGTTTCTAAAATAATCTGGCCACATCTGAAGAATCTTTACAAAGTATCAGTCTAACTTTAAATGTTGTGAGATACAGACTATACTGAGTTAAGCGAAGACAATCTGAATTGTATCTTAGCAAAGAAAATAAACAGCTGCTATGAAATTATAAATAAAGTTCATAATAACATACAAGAAGTAAGTTTAGCATTACACAGTGGCAAGTTGAACCATATTCTTTATAAACTCCTTAGAAAAACACCACGGTCCAAATAACTATATGTATGTAGTTTATTTGCTAATTTGTAGTATGCATTTGGGCAATTTTCTGTGCCTTAAAAAATAAATCAGAGCAATGTACCAAGAACATAAAAGATTTTGCAAATTACTTTTGATTTCCCTTAGCTGGCTGGATCAGACAAGCTAGAAGAGGGAGTTTGGTGCTTTCCACAAATGTAACTCAGGGTAGTATCACATTTTCATTTTGAGTCAGTGCATGGATATGGTACAATCATGTGGGCCTATCTATGATTTCTCTCAATCTGTCTTTCATTAAAATTTATGAAACACATCAGTGGGTCAAAGCTCCAGAGGTGGTAAGACCTTGAACAGCCATCAGTAACAAAGCACACAGCAGGAGAGAATGCTGAAAGCCTTCAGGAATTATTCATCTCAGGGCTCTTACTCTTTAGGTCCTCACAGATTGGGCCTCTAAAAGTAACAGTTACTTTCAAAACAAATGAAACAGGCCAGGCATGGTGGCTCATGCTGTAGTCCCAGCACTTTGGGAGGCCAAGGTGGGTAGATCCCTTGAGCTCAGGAGTTTGAGACAGGCATAGGCAACATGAAGAAACCCCTTATCTACAAAAAATACAAAAATTAGCCAGGTGTGGTAGTGCATACCTGTAGTCCCAGCTACTGGGGAGGCTGAGATAGGAGGATCGCTTGAACCCAGGAGTTGAGGCTTCAGTGATCCATGATTTTGCCACTGCACTCCAGCCTGGGCCACAGAATGAGGCCCCGTCTCAAAAATTAATTAATTAATTAATTAAAATAAAATAAACAAAATCTGTGCAAGCTTCTAAGAGAGAGGCCAAGCAATTGTATTAGAATAATGTGTGTGTGTGTGTTAAAAAAACTCTTTATTAACAAAAAAAAAAAAGGACTATACAAGAAATGATGAGCCATTTAATTAAATTGGCTTCTGCTTCCAGCCAAGATGAAGTTAACAGAGAGCAGATTTAACCACCCATTTAAAACAATCAAAAACAGATAGAAAAAAATATGAAACAACAGTTTTCAAGGAACTGGAAAATCAGGCAACAAAAGACAGTGACCCCTGAGAGAGAGGAAACCAACCAGGTAAGCCCTGTGACTGTCTCTACTCACTGCCTTGAGAGTTGTTAAAAACAGTATTTAGATCCTGATCCAAATCTCACTAAGTTCTTCTGCATGATTTAATTGTTTAAAAAGACAAATGCCCTGCTCTTGTAAAAGATGATGTGTGGGTCTACTTATGTATACACTTTTAGATAAAAGCATGTCACCTACAACACCATTTATTGGGGTTCATCAGAAATTGGCCCAAATAAGAAGAAGAAATGGAGTAACAGACTGAGACCATTTAATATGGAATCCTGTTTCAGTTTCTCACAACTGAGCTCCAATCAACAAAACAGTACCACATGTATGTGTCTGTTGTTCATTCTGAGTCTTTCATTGTAAGAGTTGGCATAGGTTAGTTTCCTCATTAAATTCTGAGAGCATTTTGGTGGGGGGGGAGGCTCTCACACTTATATCAAAAATATTATACTTTTTTAAGAGATAGGATCTCACTCTGTGGCCCAGGCTGGAGTGCAGTGGCATGATCACAACATGGCAGGTTCAAACTCCTGGGTTCAAGCAATCTTCCTACCTTGGCCTCTTAAAGTGTTGGGATTACAGATGTACCCACTGTGCCAACCATATTAAACAAATATTAAGAGCAGCTTTGTTTCCTCTTTTCAGTACCTTTGCCATGTTTTTGTTTTTTCGGTCTTACCTAGTTAGAATTACCTACTGTAAAAGTTGAATTTAAATGGTGATAATGGGCATTCTTGTCTTCTGTTTATCTCAAATGGGAGCATTTACTAGCTCACCATAAGGTACAGTGTTGGTGTTTGCTGTACCTACATGTCATAGATACCCCTTACTAGATTATGAAGGCAGTGCTGGTGGCAGGCAGCACAGAGTGCCAGGCTTTTTTGTTTGGCTGAGGGAAGGGCCATTGGCCAGGGCTCCACTGTGGCCACCCAGCTTGCTGCTTTTCTGGGCGCCACTCCCCTAGCCGATCCAACCCGACGCGATGTGCCAATAGCACAGCACCGATTCCTCTCCGGCTGTTGGGCGCTGCTCTGAACAGCACCATCCTTTACACCAGAAAGCTGGCACACACTATGGGGGGGGGGGGGGGGGGGAACAAGAAGAAAGCGGAGGAGGTGCTAGAAGATGAGGAACAGGAATATGTGGCGGAAAAAGTTCTCGACTATCAAGTGGTAAAGGGCAAAGTGGAGCACCTCCTAAAGTGGAAGGGGTTCTCAGATGAGGACAATACATGGGAGCCAGAAGAGAACCTGGATTGCCCCAACTTCATGAGTTTCTGCAGTCACAGAAAGCAGCACATGAGGCAGATAAATCAGAGGGAGGCAAGTGCAAAGCTGATTCTGATTCTGAACATAAGGGAGAGGAGAGCAAACCAAAGAAGAAGAAAGAAGAGTCAGAAAAGCCACGAGGCGGCCGGGCGCGGTGGCTCACGCCTGTAATCCCAGCACTTTGGGAGGCCAAGGAGGGCAGATCATGAGGTCAAGAGATCAAGACCATCCTGGCCAACATGGTGAAACCCCGTCTCTACTAAAAGTACAAAAATTAGCTGGGCGTGGTGGCACGCGCCTGTAGTCCCGGCTACTTGGGAGGCTGAGGCAGAAAAGTTGCTTGGACCTGGGAGGTGGAGGTTGCAGTGAGCCAAGGTCGTGCCATTGCACTCCAGCCTGGTGCCTGGTGATGGAACGAGACTCTGTTTAAAAAAAAAAAAAAAAAAAGGCACAAAGCTTTGCTCAGGGTTTGGAACCAGAGCAGATTATTAGAGCTACAGACTCCAGTGGAGAGCTCACGTTCCTGATGAAACAGAAAAACTCGGATGAAGCTGACCTGGTTCCTGCCAAGTAAGTCAATGTCAAATGCCCACAGGTTGTCATATCCTTCTACGAGGAAAGGCTGATGTGGGCATTTCTACTCCACAGAGGATGATGACAAAAGAGATGACAAGAATTAACTCTCTTGAGTACCAGCACCTGTCACATCTGACTGTGGGTTTCAGGTGGGAAGGGAAGGCATTCTACTTGTCTTGATACCATAGAGGTGGCTTGAGAAGATGTCCTTTGAAGAGCCAGTATAGTTACTGTGCCCCCCTGCAGCAGCCCAACTGCTTTAAAGCCATTCCAAGCTTGCACACCCATCCCAGTGGAAGGGAAGGGGGATAAGTGTTTCAAGGCAACCTTTTCTACACTTCGCTGAGAAAAAGCAAAGGGCCTTCTATGAAGGACAGAACTTGCAAAACTGGGTGTGTGGGGGAGCAAAAAAATTCTGTAGATCCTCAAAGAGCATCTCTATAACCCACAGCTTTCCTCCCAAAAGTGTTAACTCTGCATTTTTACAGCATAGCATGTGTGTGCTTTTGGCTATTACTGCTGTATTATTTGGGGGAGGGAGGAGTAAGAAGGGGAGAAAGGGAGATGAGTGCATCATTTTGATTAAAATTTGGGGACTGCTAGGGGAAATGGCAAAGCAATGGAAAGAACAGACAACTAATGATTTGCTTCTATGTCCAGAATATTTTACCTTTGGAAAAAAAATGTTATTGGCACCATAAATAAGGACTGTGAGAGACTGTTTAAAAGGTATGAATGTCTGAAATCTATAAGCCAAGGTGTTCCCTACCTAAACTTAATGCACTTAGTCCCACAAAGGACTAAGCCAGTTCATAAGCTACCAGAGTTGCCATTTTTGAGATGGAAACTGACTGAAGAGGGAAGGTCTTTTATTGGAGAGTATACATTAGAAGCAGATCATTTTGTCTCAGAGGTGCTAATTCCTGAAATTAGAAGACCCTTTCTTTTCTACTAATGAAGTTATAAATATCAGCGTGCTCATTCAAGCCACTGGCTGAGGTGTTGAGGAAGGGGAAGAGGATGGCGGAGGAGATAAGACAGAAGGGAAAGTAAAGAGTCCATGCTCTTAATGGGGAGAGCTTTGGGAGCCATTCTCTTTTTTGAGCTTTGAACTCTGAAACCATTGGTGGCAGTGTTCAGTACAAGTTTCACGGAATTGATTCAAGAGTTTAGTGATTTCAAAAGCCTCAGTCTCAGGAGAAGATTAAACTTTCAT